AGAGAATACAACAATCCTGAAACCCTAAAACATCAAATGAAGAGATAAAGAACTCAGCCAAGCACCAAATGGAGTGAGAAAACTGACACAGAATGAAAAGCAAGGAGAGATTCATGCAGAGATCCCCTATCATGCATGGATCCGCCATCTTGGAGTCCTATTGGAGACCAGCAAACAGGGGGTACAAGAAAGCAGCCTCACGGAGCATCCAGCAGGAGACAAAACAACCGGTAATTGGCGATATACGCTTTCCCACCCGCCACCCTTCTTCACCCCGACTTGGCCTACTCAGCTTCCTGCAGCCACAATCTCTTGACCAGGAAATACCGGCTGCATGGATTCCACACACCCGAACGGGTGGCTGTCTGAGTGCCATTTCTTGGCTGCTGGTGTTGCTTTTTTTCCACTTCTTTTTATTTCTTCCTTGCCTCTCCCCACCTCCCTTTCCTTTAGCTCGAGTACCTCGCTCTGTGTGCCATCTTTGCTTCTCCCTGAGGGGCTGCAGAGCTCCGGTAATTTGTGATATACGCTTTCCCACTCTCTATCCTTCTTCACCCACACCCAGCCCCATCTGCCTCCCACGGACACAGTCTCTTGCCCAGAAATACCAGCCCGCACTAGCTGGCTCTCTGAGTACCATTTGTTGGCTTGCTAGTGTTACTTTTTTTCTGCTTCTTTTGATTTCTTACTTGCCTCTTGCCACCTCCCCCTCCCTTTGCTCAAGTGCCTGGCTCCGTGTGCCATCTTTGTTTCTTCCTGAGGGGCTGCGGAGCTCCGTTCGAGTGTGGCGCTGTTGCCCGGTCTGGGCTGCCATGCTAGTGGGATCCCGGGGCTTTTATTCGTTTGTTTGTTTTGAATTGTTTGTTTGTTTTCTTTTCTTTTTCTTGAGTTGGGAGCCCTTTCTGGCCAGGCTGAGCTGCGTGGCAGGGAGACGCCCCTTCGGCTTCCACAGACGTGCAGAGGGATCCCTGGGGGCATTTCTTTTTACGTTGGGTTTTTTTTTTTTTTTTTTCCTGTTTCTTTGGGGGCCTTTCTTGCTTTTTTTCTTTTTTTTTAAATTTGTTTTGTTTTCTTTTTCCTCTTTTTCCCTTTTTGTCTTCCTTCATTGCTCAGTTTATCGTCTCTCTATAGCTTCTTTCTCTTTATGTTTCCTGAATACCTGGCGTTGTATACCTCTACGCCTTCTAGCCAGGCTGTACTGTAATACCTGAGAGTGATTTCCCCGGACCTCATAGCTGCACTGGTGAGATCCCTGGGAACTTTGCGGTTCTTTAATCTGATTTTTATTTATTCACTCCTTTCTTTTCTTCCTCCTCCCCTTTCTCTTTTTCTCCATTTCATAGTCTCTCATCTCTCCACTCCAACGGCAAACTCCCCTAGCATTCTTTTTGGTTTGTTTGTATGTTTTTGGCTCCTGTTCCTCTCTCCTCTCTCCCATATCCATCTTCGCTCCACACATAACAATCTCCGTGCTGCATCCTGCCTCCTTGAACCGGGCGCTTGACATCACACCACCAAGCAGCACAGGCACAGCCTACCAGAACCTGCCTTGAACTGATTACCGACCAGCTCTGGTAGCTGTACTAAGTGCCACAAACAACCCGTCCCAGTAACCCCTCTTCAGCTAGACCTGCCCGGCCGTACCATATATGAGTGACTGACCCTGACAGTTGAAGAAGGAAGCAAAAAGTATTGTGCCCACAGACGAGCAAACAACAAAGAACACACAGTCTGCCTGCTCAGACAGTCAAAATATTTTTTAAAAAAAGGGACAAAACAAATCTACAATCAATAAATGAGAAAAATAACTACTGGATGCCCCGAAGACAGCAGACAATAACCAACATTTACAAAAACAGGACAGAATGGTTCCAGTAGGCGTCCAAAATCAAACACCAGATGACTTTCCTGTGGAAGAAAATGCACTAGTACTACCTGACAAGGAATTCAAATCTCATACTCAGAATTCTCCAAGAACTGAGGCAAAAAGCTGACAAACATGAGGAAAAAATAGACAAATTCATGGAAAATACGGACAAAAAACTGGAAGAATTCAGGAAAATAATGCAGGAACAAAATGCCAAAATAAATTCACAACTAGAAATTATACAAAGACAACAATTAGAAATCCAAAAGAT